TCAAGGCCCCAGAGCCAGGGCTGGCTCTAGGCACCAGCAAACAAGCTGGTGCTTGGGGCGGCACATTTTTAGGGGCGGCATTCTGGCGCGGGCCATGCCACCCCTAAAAATGTGCCCCGGCTGCCCTAACTCACCTCCGCTGCTGCCGCTCGTGCGCTGCTGCTCGCCCTCCCTCCCAGGTTTGAGAGCCTGGGAGGGAGGGGGAGACCCCGAGTGGCCGCGGCGCACGCGCAGCTTCTCCCCCTCCCTCCCAGGCTTGAGAGCCTGGCGGGAGGAGGCAGGGCTGGGGATTTGGGAAAGAGGCGGAGTTGAGGCGGGGCTGGGGGGTGGGGTAAGAAAAAAACGGGGGGGGGTGGCCAAAATTGTTTTTGCTTGGGGCGGCAAAAATCCTAAATGGTCCCCTTAAGGTTTGAACTCACAACCCTGGGTTTAGCAGGCCAATGCTCAAACCACCAAGCTATCCCTCCCCCTTTTGGGCACCTTCAGGTCACAATTTCAGGCTTTTCTCCACAACCACAAGGGACAGAGACTTCTTTTTAAAAGGCTGAGATTCTCACCTAATCCAGGTGCTGGGGCTTTAAGAACAAACCAAGTATCATGAGACTGGCGATAAAGTCATAAGAGTTGTCACTACTGCACACTCTCTGCTTGGCTTGGAAGACTTCCCAGGCACATTGATTGTGTGTGCGTAGCCATGGAAAAGCCCCCACTCCCTGCAAGCTATCTGCTCCCGGATTCCAAGGTACAGTAACTTCCTAGCTAGTGAATGGATTCTTGTTTGGATATTTCTGGGGTTTGTATTATCAATTGCTCAGTATCTTACTGTTCACAACAGAGTGAAATCCTGGGGCTCAAGTGTTGGCTAGGCCTATCCTGGCCTACTACATACATCGGGATTTCACCTGAGGCAAAGCAAAACAGCCACCCTCCCTGACATCTAGCTGCTAAAACCACCAGAGAGTTGGCCCAAGCAAATGGCTGATCAACGAGATCACCCTCAAAGCATTCCCTGAGTGTGGAACAGAGCTGTGCTATGAACAGGCGGGGGCCGACCTCTCGGCCCCATTCTGCGGTGGGAACTTGGTACTCTTTAAAGCCAATTTAAAAATCCAAAATACTTGGTTTCCCCTTTCATTTTTCCTTGGAGTTCGGTTTAGGTGCAAAGCTTTTCTCCCAAGGGCAAACCATCCCAAATGAGCCTGGGGCCCAACTTACAACCTCTTTAAATTAATTACAAACACTCATCGAATACAGTAGTAAAGCCCTGTGCACCATAACCTGGTTGTGATGTCCTGAAGGCCAAACATGTATTGGGAAAATACCATACCTGATGCCTACCCACTCCCTGGCCTTGGTCCTCTATTCTCTAGTTCTCTACCTCAGATTTATTCTAGCACCCATCCCAGTAGGATATAAGCCCTGATGAATGCTCTGAGTGTGCCACCAATTCACAGAAAAGCTTGTGTATGTATCCCTCCCACCTCACCTGGGCAAGCTGTAGAAGTCCAACCAGTTAATTAAGCAAAACCCACCTATCAATTAGCACTGCTTGTGTCTAATCACACAGCCCTGTCCATCAAGGAGCTCTGTGGATGAAGAATGTTAAACTGTCCTCATGTTTTCTTCTCTTCAGAACTTGTGTTATTTACAACCCCATGTTGACAGGGACTTGCTACAGCTCATGATGACCTATGTAAGGACCATGGTGTGGGTGCTTCCCTTGGTCCTCAAGAGCGTTGCTTTGAGATTATTATTCGAAGGCCTTGCTCGGCTGTCTTCATTTGTAGAGGGATGGAACTAGCCTCTTGGAATTTGTTTTTCTTCAGAGAGAGGGGGACCAAGCTCAGAAATGGGGTTGGAGTCCAACCTCCTCAAGTTTGTGGGGGTCTGTGAGCTCCAGTGAGGCAGAACTGGAACGAGTGTCATTTATAACACAGCTTTAACACGAAACTCTGCTTGGAACTTTGCACCAGGAGGAAAAGGATGAGAAATCTTGTCATCTGATTTTGCAGTTACTAGATTTTAAGGCCAAAGCGATGATTGGATCATCTAGTGTGACCTCCTGCGTTACACAGGCCAGAGCTTTCAACCCAGGGATTCCTGCCTTCAGGGCCGGCTCCAGGCACCAGCAAAAGAAGCAGGTGCCTGGGGCGGCCAATAGAAAGGGGCGGCAGTCCGTCCGTTGTTGGGGCGGCACGTCCAGGACTGCGGAGGCAATTCGGCAGCGGGTCCATCAGTCCTTCATTTCCTCTTTGGCGGCCGCTCAATTGTTTTGTTTTGTTTTTTTCCTTTGCCGCCGCTTGGGGCGGCAAAAAAGCTAGAGCTGGCCCTGCCTGCCTTAGACCCAATAATTTCTGAACAAAGAGCACCCAGCTGCATTGTTCTACGCACTAGACTACACTCCTGCATTCACTGACAGTACGATCAGCAGTGCTGACATTATGTGAGACTAAATCCCAAATCACTGAAGTTTTGCCAAAGCTTGCCAGAGTACTGCTGCTGGCTGGGTGTGTACAAACAGCCTGAAGAAGAATTCTGTGTAGCTGAAAAGCTTGTCTCTTTCACCCACAGAAGTTGGTCCAATAAGAGATATTACTCCACCCACCTTGTCTCTCTAACACAGGGGTGGACAAACTTCTGGCCCAAGGGCCTCATCGGGGTACAAAACTGTATGGAGGGCCGGGTAGGGAAGGCTGTGCCTCCCCAAACAGCCTGGCCCCCGCCCCATCCACCCCTCCCACTTCCTGCCCCCCTCAGAACCTCTGACCCATCCAACCCCGTCTGCTCCTTGTTCCCTGACCGCCCCTCCCGGGACCCCATGCACCTAACCACCCCCCCGGAACCCCAACCCCCCCTTCTCCCTGTCCCCTAACTACCCCCCCTGACCCTATCCACACCCCACCCCCTGACAGGCCCCCGGGACCCCACCTCCTATCCAACCCCCCTGTTACCCATCCCCTGACTGCTCTGACCCTATCCACACACACGCTCCCCGACAGATCCCCCCGGGACTCCCACACCTATCCAACCGCCCCCTGCTCCCTGTCCCCTCACTGCCTCCCTGGGAACTCCTGCCCCTTATCCAACCCCCGCCCCCTTACCATGCAGCTCAGAGCAGCAGGAGCTCGCAGCCCTGCCAGAGGCAGCCGCGCTGCACACGTGGTGGCGTGACTGCGGGGGGAAAGGGAGACAGCAGGGGAGGGGCCACGGGCTAGCCTCCCCGGCCAGGAGCTCAAGGGCTGGGCGGGACAGTCCCGCGGGCCATAGTTTGCCCACCTCTGCTCTAACATCACAGCAGCAGCCCCAGAGCCCAAACTTTCTAAACAACTGCCCGCCGGTGGCAGGTTAGACACATAGCATTTGACCCCATTTCCCTGGGTGTTTTCACCTTAAAGGTTGCTTTTCAGAGATGGACAGCCCCTCCATTACTCACAGCGGGCCTGGGCTTAACACCTCTGCAAATCAGGCCGCAAACTCCCCTCAAATAAAGAAATCGGATCCCTGTCACATGCAGCAAATTCTTAGCCTACGTTCTCCTCCCAGATCTGCAAAGGGAAGCGAATCTGGTTCTGTATCTGGTTCTACGATTCCCCATACAAAGGGGGCAAAGGCAATTGTGATGTGGACACATGTCCACTGAGAACTGGACTGAGACCATCAACTCATTTCACACAGACTGTCGAACAACAGTCAGATGGTAACAACTTTCAGTCACTACTCGAGTCTGGTCTGAACCAATGGTGTTGGTCCTGCTTTGAGCAGGGGATTGGACTAGATGACCTTCTGAGGTCTCTTCCAGCCCTAATCTTCTATGATTCTATGATAATACGCCGAAGTCCAGATCTGGTTCTGAACCCTGCGGCTTGCTGCTGACTCTAGTCATTATCTGATCTGAAACGTAGGGAGTGATCCATAATGGTGAAAGGCATTGTTGCCATTATCCATCACCTGATCCCTTCTGGTGATCATGCTTCTGGTGCTTGATCTCAGTCTCCCCATCCCCTGAAGGCTGTGAACATTAAAGACCCACATTAATACTCCCCTGCCTTTTTCTCCCTGTATAAACTGTCTAAGGTATGTCTCCATGAGCATGGAGAGCTCTGAGCAAAGGCAGCTCACCATTTCCCCTTTAACCAGTTTGCTTTTCTTGATTTCCTTTTCTGGAATAAAACCTGCACATCAAGTTCATTTCAGCCAGAAACACCACAAGTAAAACACCATCAGCCCCTAGAGACGGGCCCAGATCCCACCTCCGTCTAGCACCCCCTTGTGGGGTAGTTTGGGGTGGTAGTGGAGCTTTGACTCTTCACTCAGAGATGGGTAAGCCGCAAGGGAACTGCAGCCTACAACAGCAAATAGTATTCTTGGAGGAAAGATGTACGATCAGTGCTTAATTTGTAATGAAAGAGGCTCAAGCAATTATGTGCCAGGCCTCAAGCAATTATTTTACATTCATAACGAATGCAGCCAGCCCAGTGGTGCCAGGGCTCTGAACTGCCACGCCTAGCAGTGCCAGACTCAGCCCTGGCACAAATGAAGCAGTGTGCACGATAAATGGCTTAGAATTTCACTCCGACCAAGTGATGATGGGAGGGGCTGGAAGGGATTCCACTCTGGCAAATAGCGTGGGCTTGCTCAGGTGAGCAGAGGCGGCCATGTGCTGTGGTGGGGAAATGCAAACACACACACACGTGCACCCCCCCACCCCCCAGAACATTATTGCTTCAGTACACAGCAGCTTTGAACCACTCTGCTCAGCAGGGTGAATTTCAACACCGACAGGTGTGTTTTTATATAAATCAAAATAAATAACCAAAAGAAACATCTCCCATTGCCGGCTTCGATTTTTGTTCTCTCTGTTCAAACACGAAGGGTGAGCTCTGCAGGCTGACAGGAAAGCTCCCTTTACCCAGAAAAAGCTGATGTGTCCAAATGTCTATGTGGGAGGCAAATGTCCACCCTAGATTGTCCCACCCAGCAAGGGAAGCAACTGCACAATGACAGCTGGGAAATGGAAGTGTGCTGGCCTGGGTTGAAATCCACACACAATTGGAACATGCCATGTTGCCAGCGTTTTACTGGCAGTTTTACACAGCCCTTGGCTGTGTCTTCACTGACAGAAAGGTGTGCGTCTTTTACAGTACAATAACTAAGGCTAAGATTTAGTCAGGGGTCTTTATAGTAAAAGTCATGGACAGGTCACAGGTCATGAATATTTGTTTATTGCTCATGGCATGTCCGTGACTTTTACTATAAAGACCCCTGACTAAATCTTAGCAGCTCCGTGGCACCATTGCACTGGGGGAACCTTGGAGGTCGACAGCTGCCTCTGCTTGGCAGTGGGGGCTGACTGCACCTGGCCAGCCATTGCTGAGGCTCCTGGGGCCAGCTGCTTGGATGGCCCTCGGGTCAGCCACACCGGCTACTGCAGAAGTCCCAGAAAGTCACTGAATCCATGACTTCCCCGACCTCCATGACAGAGGTCATGCAGCCTGAACAATAACTAACCCGAGATCCTTATCTCAGTGTAAAATTCTAAGTGGAGACAAGGCACTTGTAGTGTTACCATGAGGTAGCTAGGCAAGACTAGCACCATAACCCTTCCTGGGGTCGATCTCACTTTGCTTACCTCATGGTAAAACTACAGTGCCTTGTTTTTCCAGCGGGATAGCTAACGTGCATTAGATACCCCATGATAAGAACCCACCTCTTTCTGTGAGTGAAGACCTAGCCCTAGGCAGGACAAACGGTAGCAGAAAGCACTATGCATGGGTGGTAATGCATAAGCAGCATAAATCTTGGGTCTGACAAACACTTGTCCTTGTTTTCCTCCTGGATGGAGCTCCCTAGATCCAGGCCAGCCACAGGGTCGCTATCCCAGTCAGTTCCTTGGCATATAACGCACATGCTGATATCCCTGGAATTTAAAGATTGGATCGCTCTCTTGCTGCAAGCTGCCACCTTTCCCCCGTGTCTCAGCTTCAAAAGTCTCGCCTACTAGTGAGGCCAGGGATGGTGGGTCTTCTTCCGAGCACACAGTGAGGCTGTCGCTGTCGCTTGCGATGCCCTCGTCCTCTGCGAGCTTTAAAGTCTGAAAGCAAACAAGCTGCCCCTCAAGAGGGAAGCCGTCGGAGTCCTGGCTGACTTCTAGTGCGACACACACTATTGGGTCAGGATAAGGATGCCACTGATGGTTGGTGTTATGGTGATGTCTCCTTTGCAGGCTTTGCTCATAAGCAGGAGGCTTCCCATTCAGCCCCTCTGTCAACACAGTCATCTGAAGGAAGGTGTCTTCTTGGCAGACAAGCTCCCCATGTCCATTAGTAGCTGGATATCGGGCTTCAATGAGAGAGAAGTCTCCCAAGGAGGAACTCTCAGAAAAGAAGGATTTCTCACTGTCTTGGAACCCAGAGGTGTCCTCCTTGGCCGAGCCCCTTCTCCAAACAGGCTGAGAGAACCCTAACCCTGCTAGGTCAGACACAGATCCTCCCTCAAGGTGGGAACCGCCCAGTTCAGAACCCGATTGGGTCCCTTGGTGACTCGTGCTGGCTACTTGGCAGTTGGGAGCTCTCTTCAGGAACCGAGGCATTTCAGTGTAGGGTCTGAAACTGCTGCTGTCATCCTCCTCCTCTTCCTCCCAGAGTGAGGGGAGAGAAGCATTTAGTGATACGTTGTTCCTCACTGAAGGACCACTCCTTCTCCCTCCCAATTCTGGCTTCTCCATGCAGGCTAGGAGGTCTTCCTCAAAGAACTCCTTTTCGCTGGGCTCCTTCTCAAGGATTGTCCCAGGAGCCCTGAAATGGGAGAAGTCCTAGCAGGAAGGGAAATGAGATTGGCAGGTTAAAGGGGGTTTTCATTTTGACAGATACTTTTTAAAGCAATTGTAGTGGGCATGGGAAGTGCCAGAGAGCCTGGAGAATGGCTCTTATTGTGGGACTGTACAGCACAATGGGGTCCAGTCCCAACTGACTTCAGTTGGGGTGACCAGACATCCTGTTTTTAAAGGGACAGTCCCGTATTTAAGCTCTCCTGCAGGTGTCCCGACTTCTTCTTAAAAACAGACAAATTGTCCCATATTTTCTGTCTCCCCTGCATCAATACGGTGGTCTTGCTGCTGGCCAGATCCCTGCTCGCCAGCCACCCGCCCACCAGTGATGAAGGGGTGGGTGTCCAGTGGCGGACGATGGGGGTGGGTGTGCAAGGCTGCTGGGAGGGCAAAGATACAGCGCGTGGGGCTGGCCGCTCCCCCTGATGGTTCATCAGTGCAGCCCCTACTGTGTGCCAGTTCTCGGCCAGCAGGGCCCCGCCACCCTGTCCTGTTTCTGGCTGGTGCTGGCTGCGCGCTGCGGTGGCTGGTGCGTGCTGGCAGGCGCCAGGCGATGGCCAGTTACGTGTCGCCTCTGCTGCCCACCCATTGGCCCTTTACATGCTCCCCACTCACTGTCCTCTCCCTGCTTTGCCCCTTCCCCCCCTTCATATCTCCGCCAACGGGTCGCATCCTGCTCCCAGCGCTGTGTGGAGAACCCCTGGTCGGAGAGCTCAGCTCACCAACAGCGCTGGCATGGGAAGCCTCTCCGCCCCTCAGCTAAGCTCTGAAGTGGCGGGACTGGGGGAGGGGGGGGGAGAAGTAATTTCCAGCCTGTTCACGACCGAACCTGCAGGCTCCACAGCAGCCCTCAGGGCAGAGGCGTAGCACCTTCTTCAGCACCCCACCCCCGGGTCTTGCCCCCAGGAAGCGTAGGGCTGCTCCATCCCCTAGGAATCCTCCCCTGCCGAGCCACCTCTCTGGCCGGGTTCACTGAAGCCCCTGCAGGCAGGTTCCCTGGGCCCTGGTGCACAATGCAGCCTTAGGGCTTAACCTCTTCCTGCCTGCGCTATAGCCCGAGGTGGTTGGCTTATGTGGGTGACCAGCAGCAGCCTGGAGGTGTTAGCTGCCTTTTGACACTGTGCAGGCAGAAAGGAACAAGCTGCTTCCAGCCACACTGGGGGTGGGGGGAGGAGAGGAGATGAGCTCTGCAAAGACATGGGCCAGGTCACTCCCTCCCCCCCCCACACCTCCCCTGCGGCTGGAAGCCGCTCCTGTCCCTTCCATACCTCTAATAATTTTTGTTGCCCTTTTCTGAACCATTTCCAATTCCAATATATCTTTTTTGAGATGAAGCGACCACATCTGCACGCAGTATTCAAGATCTGGCCATACCAGGGATTTATATAGAGGCAAGATGATATTTTCTGTCCTATTACCTATCCCTTTCCTAAGCCTTGTGTGCTACCGCTCTACAAATACACTGAAGTATGTGTTATCTGATCTCAATTCTGGACCCAATCCTGAGAAGTGCAGGGGAAATCGGGAAGAGTTGCAGGAACACAGCAGCTTCCAGGATTGGCCCAATAATGCAGTCTTTCCATACCAAAGCTTGAGGCCTCTTCACTCTCTTGGCAGCTTGTTTACATAGGATGGACGGAGCAGCAGCGCAAAGGAAAAGCAGGACAAACAATGGGACTGCAATGGTGACTAGGAACTTCCAGTCCACGGCTGCAAGAGAGAAAGCCAAGAAATAGTTCTGTTGGTGTGGACATGTTCTACAAGTACTACTAGCTTCTTACAGCTAGGGTGACCAGACGTCCTGTTTTTATAGGAGCAAAGAGTCCTGTGGCGCCTTATAGACTAACAGACAGTTTGCTGCTTTTTCAGATCCAGACTAACATGGCTACCCCTTTGATACTTGTTTTTATAGGGACAGTCCCGTTTTTTGGGACTTTTTCTTACCTAGGCGCCTATTACCTCCCACCCCCTTTCCCGTTTTTTCACAGTTGCTATCTGGTCACCCTACTTACAGCGGACTTCTCATCCGTTGATCTCAAACCTGAGTGTCATTCTCCTCATTTGACAACAGCCTAGACAAGGAAGTGATTTGGCCAGCAACAGAACTCAGGTCCGCCCACATCCAGACCAGCATCCTGTCTAAAGCTGGTGAAAACCTAATTGGTTTTTTTACAGAAAACGTTGCTGAAAATGGGGGGTGGGAGGGGAAGAACCCCTTTAATCTAAGTTCTCCATGGACAATTTACATTTTCAGGGGAAATTTAAATACCAAAAATTCTGGGCTGAAAAACCAAGTTATTTTGGCCAAAATATTTTGGTTTATGGCCAAAGTCTTTCAGTTTTTCGGACATTTTGGTTTTTGACAAAAATTTTCACAGAAAGAAGACACTTTTTTGCAAAACCAGCCTCTTTCCTGGACCCAATTCTCTGTCAAAAACCTATTTGGATGGAAAAATTTCCTCCCAGCCCTGCTCCTTCCCACCGATCCCTTGCTCCCTCCCAGCAGGGCTGTACCTTTGGACTTGAACAGCACGCACACCGGCTTGGAGAACTCGCTGTGTTTTAGTTTGATTACTTGGAAAGAAGCCCTGGCACTCAGACAGTAATTGCCGCTGATCTCCCGAGTGTTGATTGTTATCTTGTCCCACTTCATGTTGTCGCAGTACTGAATCTGCTGAGACACAAGGAAAACGGAGGGTTGGAGACAGTTGGGGTTCTCTGTTCAGACCTGGATCCTTTAGACTCTGGAGGGACCTTTGAGATATGTCTCTCCTCTTCCGTGTGTGTAGATGTTAGCCAGGCAAGAACCACGTATTACTCCACAGACGCCTGGTCTGGCACTGGTATTTCTCATTTGACTATTTCAGTCTTCTAGGCCTTGGCTGCACTGGGGGCAGGGCCGGCGCAACCCATTAGGCAACCTAGGTGGTTGCCTAGGGCGCTGCGATTTGGGAGTGGCGACCACGGTGGTATTTCCGCAGCAGGACCTTCCGCCGCCTCTGTGGGGGGGCGGCATTTCGGAGCGGGACCTTTCGCCGCCTAAGGCGGCAGAAAAGCTGGCAGCGCTCCTGACTGGGGGGCTAATTTGCACTGAGTGTTTTGCACACTAACTGGTGCATGTGAGACGGCATGCTCTCTGACTGTGTACACAACATCAGCTGTTCTCTGATTCAATACCTATCAGCGCGTCTCACGCTTTGGACTTTGTGTAGAGGACGTAGGCAGCGTTCTGGACAGGTATCCCATGAGGCTTTGCTTCTTAGCAGGACTCTATGTATCCTGGGACTTTTGTCTCTGTGCATTGTGGGATATATAGTGGAAAGAACTGGAATCTTGGATATGGGGGGGTCAAACAACTATTCCCATGATTCCCAGTTCCCAAAAACCCAGATCCAACCCGCTCCCCTCCCCAGAACTTTAGAGATATTTGGATCAAGATCCAAGCTTTGCATCTCCAGTACGTATCTATGCCTAATCCAATGAAGCACTGGTCTTCTGACCTTGTCTTCAGTTCCGGCTTCCCAGAAGTCCAGGTCATACTTCAGATCGATAAAGGTGCTCTCCACACAGGAAGCCAGGGGGAAAGCGGCACCCACATTGATTGTACTTTCCGACACGCTCACTTCTAGTGCCGGGGGAGCCAGTTCCACTGTAATTGAGTGCCCAGATGTTAGAGCAGCACTCGCATAGATCCCAGTATGCAGCCAAAAGCCAGCCACCCAAACAGGCCACGTACAAAGTAACCCGGGACACTAAGTTTTTGTGAAGCTCAGGCTCTTTCTTAGATGGATATCAAGAGTTCAAAGCCAGTACTCAGGCCCGCCGACAGCATGTCTGGGTCCCAGGGCAGAACAGTCAATGGGCCCCCATGTATGCACAAGCTGAACCTGCTCAGACGCAGTCTGCTCGACATTTGGGCGGTGCTGCGCCCGCGCTGGCTGGTGGCCAGCGAGTTTCCAGCTGCGCTGCTGGGCGCACTCTTCTGGCACAGCCAGGGCTTCCACATGCCCACCCGGTTGGGTTGCCAACTGGCTAATCGCACAAACCCAAAGACCCTTGCCTTACCCCCTATCCCTGCCCCTTCCTCTGGGAGGGAATTTGGGTGTGGGAGGGGATGCAGGGTCGGACTCTGGGAGGGAGTTTGGACGCGGGAGGGGGGTGCGGGCTTTTGGAGGGAGTTTGGTACGGGATCTAGGCTGGGGCAAGGGGTTGGGGTACAGGAGCGGGTCAGGGGTCAGCGCTTACCTTGGGCAGCTCCCAAAAGAGACTGGCACACCCCTCTAGCAGTGGCTCCTAAGCGAGGGGCCTAGGGGGTCTCTGCGCGCCGCTGTCCACAGGCACTGCCCCGCAGCTCCCATTGGCCACAGTTCCCAGCCAATGGGAGCTGTGGAGTCAGCACTCGGGGTGGGAGCAGCGCGTGGAGACGCCCCTCCCCAGAGGCCGCAGGGACGTGCCAGCTGCTTCCGGAGCAGTGCAGAGTGAGCGCAGGCAGGAAGCCTGCTTTAGCCCTGCTGTGCTGCCGGTGGCGGCCCCCAGGCCCTTTTAAATTGCCCTGGCCCCTGGACAGTTGCCCCCTTTACCCCCATCAGTGGGCCTGCCAGTGCTTTAAGCATCTGACTTGGCGGTAGCGGAAGCCACGATCTCAATGAACATGTTGGATAACAAAGGACAAAGAGCCCGGGATCAGAAACTCCACAACTGGCAGTGTCCTGCCCCCAGGGGAGGTTGTTGAGACTCAGCTCTCTGCATAGGGCCTACAGCTGTAGTGTGGGTCTGTTCTATTCAGGTTCTTATGCCGTGCCCATCACCATGGTATCTGAGCACCTTACGAAATCTTACAAGTGTGGAGGAGAGGAGAGAGAAACTCCAAACTCTTCTAGCGCTGTGGGAGCATCACACAAACATTCTCTCTGGAAAGGCCGTTCAGCCATAGCAGAGACTAACAATAACGTACCATCAAACTGATATTCCATGAATCCCGACTCCACCCAGGGGGACTGGCGCCCTGCCAACAGGGCTTTGACACGGGCGCTGAATTTGTTGTATGGGTCTGACTCACAAGTCAGATTGCAGGTGGTTTGGGAAATGTTTCTGCAGTGTTGGACCTTTTTCCACTGCTTTACTTGAGTCCATCTGAAAGAAGAAACAAAACCAACACAGTGTTGAACATCTAGTGCTTCTTCGGGCTAGCAGGGGTGGCGTTTTGCAGAACTGGCACCAAACGTGGCTGCGGGCTTACGGCAGAGCTCTCCCCACATTTGCCTCTTTCCAGGGATTGGCCCTGGTAAAGGGACAGAGCCCAAATTCTAATTATTTAAATGGCCCCAAAGATTTACATTCTGCTTTACAGCAACAGAATGAAAGGAAGGATTGCCCAGTGGTTAGGGTGCAAACCTGGAACTCGGGCAACCATGGATCAAATCCCCTTTTCTGACTCAGACTTCCCGGGTGACCTTGGGAAAATCACACATGGCATGTCTCTACAGGACTAAGCAGTGCTTCACCATCTACACTGCTATTTACTCCTTTGCTGGGGGGTGTGCTTGGTCTGTACTCCACACACCACGATATGCGTAGACACAGCCTTAGTGTCCGTGCCTCAGTTTCCTTGTAATAGCACTGCCCTGCCTTGCAGGGATGTCAGGATGAGCCGCACATTAAATACGGTCAGGCACTCATATATTACAGCGATGGGGGCCAGGTAGAAGGAATGAGACTCAGTCTCTTCCCTTAAAAGCTTTACAACGCCAGGCCAAGATTTTCAAATGTGACTTGGAATTTTAGGCACCTGTGCGGGTTTTTTGGGTGCCCTACTTGAGCTGCCTTAAAAGGTCCTGATTTCCAGGGGGATGGTCCTCTGCAACTCCTGAGGATTAGGCCCCTTGAAAGTGTCTCACACTGGGGCCCGCAAGTCACTTTTGAAACTCTTAGCTTAAGCTGATTGGGCCTGCTCCAGGCCTGTGGAGGCCAGTGGAAAGGCTCCCATTGACATCCCTGTGGGATAGATCAGGATCTGCAAGTCCTCCCATTGTGGGCTGCACAAGCAGGCCCTGGGGAAGGAGAGGCCAACACAGGCAGGAGGAGAGGCAGCCCAGGGGAGGGAAGGCTGGTGGAGGATCAAAGGCAGGGGAGGTTTGAAGCAGTGGGTTTTAAGGAGAGATAAGGAAGAGAGAGATTGTGCTTGGTAGATGAGAACAAGGGGCCAGATTCTCCACTCCGCTGCACCAGCTTCCTGCTGGTGAAACGCCATGTCTCCAGTTATACGGTCATCAATGGATAGACTCCTACTGACTTGGCTCAGGCCCCAAAGGAACCAGGCCCATGTGGACGGACACCACCTGGAGAGGGAGGCAAAGCCGGAAGCAGGGGCCAGCTGAAGGGAGCAGCAAGGAGAGAGACCGTCTAGGGAGAGGTGAAAGAGGAAGGCAGAGGTTGGGGCAGGTGAGATTAAGGAACTTGAAACTGCAGTGGTAAGAGACAGGAAGCCAGATAGGGACCACAGGGATGTGCTCAGAATGGCAGGGGAGAAAGGGAATTGTAGCAGCCAGGCTGCGTGGGGTGCAGTAGGAGGGTCCCCAGAACAGCACAGAGAGCAAACACAGCCCTGCTGGCCTGGGCAGCGCCAGAGAGTCCTTTTAACCAGGCTCTAAGCTGCCTGCACCCCAGCTCCCCTCAGTGCTCTACACAGGGTTGCCAACTTTCTAATCACACAAAACAGAACACCCTGGCCCCACCCCCTGCTCCACCTGTTCCCTGAGGCCCCACCCCTGCCCCTTCTCTTAGACCCCACCCTCGCTCACTCCATCCCCCCTCCCTCTCTCTCCCCCACCCTCTCTCCCCACCCTCACTCACTTGCTCATTTTCACCAGGCTGGGGCAGGGGGTTGGGGTGTGGGAGGGGGTATAGGCTCTGGGCTGGGGGTGCGGGCTCTGGGGTGGGGCCAGAAATGAGTAGTTCAGAGTGTGGGAGGGGGCTCAGGGCTGCGGAAGGGGTTGGAGTGTGTGTGGGGGATGTGAGGGCTCTGGCTGGGGGTGTGGGCTCTGGGCTGGGGCCAGGGATGAGGGGTTTGGGGTGCATGAGGGGGCTCTGGGCTGGGGCAGGGGGTTGGGGCGCAGGAGGGAGTGGGAGATGCAGGCTCCAGGAGGGTGTTTGGGTGCAGGAGGGGGCTCAGGGCTGGGGCAGAGGGTTGGGGTGAGGGAGCTGGGAGAGGGTTCGGGGTGTTGGCTCCAGGTGGCGCTTACCTCAGGTGGCTTCTGGGAAGCTGCCAGCATGTTCCTCGGCTCCTAGGTGGAGGCGCAGCCAGGTGGCTCTGTGCGCTGCCTCGCCCTCAGGCATCACCTCCGCAGCTCCCATTGGCTGTGGTTCCCAGTCAATGGGAGCTGCAGAGCCCGCACTCATGGCACAGGCAACACGCAGAGCCCCCCCTGGCAGCGCCTCCACTTAGGGTCTGCAGGGACATGTCTCTGCTTCTGGAGAGCTGCACGGAGTCAGGTAGGGAGCCTACCAGCCCCGCACCAACGGGACTTTTAATGGCTTGGTCAGCGGTGCTGACCGGAGCCGCCAGGTTCCCTTTTCGACCGGGTGTTCCAGTTGAAAACCAGACATCCGGCAATCCTAGCTCTACAAGGAATGGCCCTGGAGCTCATCAGTTTGTTTGCGGGCCTGGTCCATCCAGCAAAAAAAGCTATGAACAGACCCCACTAATAGAACCGCCACCCACAGTTCTCCCCGCACCCCACCCATCATGGGAACAAGCCCCAGGCGCTCCTAGTCACTTTCCCTTGCGGGATACCCACTTTCGGTATCTCACAGTATACAGCACATCTGGTGGGGACCCCTCGCCGGGGAGCCACGTCAAAGCCATGCTGAAATCCTTCGACAGCAGCGTCACGTTGCGAGGGGGGGACAGTCGCACGGTGGGCTGCCCCAGAGCTACAGAGCCTGGAAAGGAAGGAAATAAGAAGGAAAAGCTATTTGAATGCTCCAGGCTTGATTCTGGGGCTGGGACGGGTTTGGGCGCTCATGGGAGAACAGCACGTGTGAGGACCTACTGCTCTCTGATGCCTTCCTGCACCGCTCCCGATGGGCGTGATTCACTCCGGCCCTGGGGGGTGTTTGGAGCATGTTGTGATTTGCTCATTTTCCTGCCTCTCAGGCTTTGTCCTTCAAGCGCAAGAACCAGCTCGGTGCGTCTGAGTCCAGCCTCAGGGAGGTCGTAGGCTGCCCACGCTTTTCTCAACCCCCAAAAGCAGCTTGGGGTTCAGATCCAGCTCTGGGGAAAGGACTGGATCAGTTCTTACCCTGGTCCCCACTTAGCCCGGACTTCGGACTAAGGTACGCAAATTCAGCTACGTTAATAACGTAGCTGAATTT